GGGGTGGACGGACAGGCGGACCCGGGCGAGCGGGGGCAGGGACGGCCGGACCGCCGGGCGGGACTGAGTCCCGGCCACCGTCCTGCAGAGCGGGGCAGCTGCGCCTGCGGCAAGTGCTACTGCAAGGAGGGCTTCGAGGGCTCGGCCTGCCAGTGCGAGCGGTCCACCCGGGGCTGCCTGAGCGCCGAGGGCTTCGAGTGCAACGGGCGTGGCCGCTGTCGCTGTAACGTGTGTGAGTGCGATGCGGGCTACCAGCCGCCCCTGTGCCTGGAGTGCCTGGGCTGCCCGTCGCCCTGCGGCCGGTACATGTGAGTGCCCCCTTGCCCCCCCCCGCGCTCTTCTCTCGCCCCCCACGCCTCCTCCCCGTGGCCCTCACCTGCCCGTGTCATGGCAGGCCCCGCCGGCCAGGCCCCCGCCCGCCCCCGGGAGCCCCACTCGGCGCCCACCCCCAGCAGACCTCTCCCACCACCTGGGGCCGAGCTCTCATGTGTGTGCGCTCACGCCCGCGCTCACGCCCACACGCTCGCGCTCACACTCACGCCTGCGCTCACGCCTGTGCTCACACTCACACCCACGATCACGCTCGCGCCCACGCCCAGGCTCGCGCCCACGCCCAAGCTCACGCCCGCACTCACGCCCACGCCCGCAGTCGCGCTCACACCCACGCTCACGCCCACACTCACGCCCGCGCTCACACTCACACCCACGCTCGGGCTCCCACGCATGTTTCTCTGCAGCACCTGCGCCCAGTGTCTCAAGTTTGACCAGAGCCCCTCGGGGAAGAACTGCAGCATGGAGTGCGGGAACGTGGGCCTGCTGAGCAAACGCCCGGAAAAGGGCCGCAGGTGCAAGGAGCGGGATCTGGAGGGCTGCTGGATCACCTACACCCTGCGGCAGCGGGTCGGCAGGGACAGCTACGACATCCACGTGGACGACACCCGAGGTGAGGCCCGGGAGACCGGGTGTCTCCGCCACCGGCAAGGGTGCCCCTCCTCACTCGGAAGGATGGCCTGGGGGTTAGGCAAGTGTCCACAGCCATGGTCCTGCCCTGGCCCCTCTCCCTGGCTCACATCGTGACCCGTGGGAGGCGGTTCACGGCTTGTTCCCTCCGCGACAGCACTGTTCCGAACCAGGGCACGTTTCTGGGCTGGGTGCCAACCACTGGACAGCTGCCTGGGGCTTGGAGGCATGGGTCCCAAGAGCCGGTCCTTGGAGAGCTGTGTGAGGACCACCGTGGGCTCCGATCTCAGCCCTGGAGGGGGGCCTGGGGCCAGGAGCCCAGGCGGCACGCTTTCCCAAATGCTGCTTGGGGGTCCAGCACTGCGCTCTGGGGCCATACCTGGCCCAGTAGTGGTTGAAGACATGGGGACACCAATCCTGTCCTCATGGGGCTCACGTTCCAAGGGGGTGGGGACATACTTGGCCAGTACCCGAGACAACGTGAGATTGTGGCCAGAGTCATGAGGTACAAAGATGGCGGCAGGGGTGGGTGGCCCTGAGGTCAGAGGTGGCCCTGAGGTCAGGGGTCAGACGGTCTCTCGGAGGAGGACCGCTGCAACCAAGACCACAGGATGGGACATCCATACGGGGGGAACAGAAGGCCCTGGGTCAGAGGCCCTTGGCTCTGGGTTTTTAGGGGGCCCCCGTGAGGCCTGCGAGGCATTTGGGTCTCCCCCCAAACATACCAAGAAGCTGTTAGCAGTTTTCAGAAGAGCGAGGGACACATCGGAGCTGCATTTTCAAAAGCCGAATGCAGAGCCATGAGGGGCTGCTGCAGGACGTGGGCACTGTGGCGTGGAGAGGGACGCGTGTGGAGGTGGCAGGGGCATGGGGCGGCGTGGACAGAGCCTGCCCTTGAATGGAACACGGGGACAGCGGGAGGAGCGGGAGGGAGATCCACAGGCCCCAACAGGTGGTGTGTGTGGGCAGGCCAGTTTTTAGGAGGCACGCTGGGTGGGTGACAGTAACGGACACATGTGGGTGCTGGGACTTTGGGAGCATGGTGGGATGGGTTTCAGGGCTCCGGACAAGTGGCGCCCAGGGCTGTGTGGGGCACACAGACGCTCAGCACCCCCCACCCCCCTTTTCCTGCTCAGAGAGGCTGAGGGCAGGGGAGCATAGGGCTGGGAGGCCCAGCCCTGCAGGTGGATGCAGCAGGCGCGGGCAAGCCATCCACCAGGGCCCTTGCAGGACTGATTCTGCTCCCAGCTCCCCTCCCCACGGTGGGAACCCCAGGAACGCAGGTGGGGCTCAGGGAGTTCACAGCTTGTGCCTGGGGGCTGTGGATTGCAGCCTGCCAACATGGAGAGCTTTCGCTGGGTTTCTCTGATGGGCAGATTTGGGGTCCTGTCTGGGTTTGTGCAGCCGTGGCCAAGTTGCTCAAGCTCTCTAGAAAGGCCAGGATGATGGAGGGAGCACAGGGAAACATGGGTGTCTAGGAGCAGGTAAATAAGCGCTCTGTCCCCTGTCCCCCAGCCCGGAAGGAGGAGGTCGGGGCGTTAGGACCCTGCCCTGGTTTCCTCGGGAAGGCTTTCACCAGCTGAGTCCTCATCCCCAAACTCAGCTAAGAGGTGTTGGGGGCCTCAGGCACCATTTCCTGCCTGAAGATTAACTCTAACTCAGCAAGGTTTGGTGATGGGGCCATTGGCTGTCCCAGCTGGTGGTAACCGAGTCAGGAGGCTGCTGTTTGGTCCGCTTTCTTTCTGTGTAAACAAGGGGCCTTTATATTTCCCCTGGAACCACGGCGCCTGGCCTTCCTCCGTGGCTGGGGGCTGCAGGCTCCCTCGTGTATCTCTTGCCTTGATGGTGAACACAGAGGCCGGAAGGCTCTGTCCACCTAAGCACTGGGCAATGACCTGGGGCAGGGCACACAGGGGGCCAGGTGAGCCAGGCAGGGCCTGACACTAATGTGTGTGTGCCTCTTCCTTGCCTCAGAGTGTGTGGGGGGCCCCCAAATCGCCCCCATTGTGGGGGGCACTGTGTCAGGAATTGTGCTCATCGGCATCCTTCTGCTGGCCATCTGGAAGGCTCTGACCCACCTGAGTGATCTCCGGGAGTACAAGCGATTTGAGAAGGAGAAGCTCAAGTCCCAGTGGAACAACGTGAGTGGCTGTCCCTGGGGGTTGAGATGGTCCCCCCCAACTGGTCCACTTGCCCCCGTAGTTCGTCCTCGGAGCTGGGACCCAGGGGAAGGTCACCCCCACTCCTGGCTCTTTCTTACCCTCCACTGACGAGTTGCATTGCATTTCCCACCAGGATAACCCCCTTTTCAAGAGCGCCACCACAACAGTCATGAACCCGAAGTTTGCTGAGAGTTAGGGCGCTTGGTGAAGACAGCGCTGTCTGAACCAGATGGAAACACCCCCAAATCACATCTCCGCCAGGCTCCTCCAGGGATATGGCTCACAATCCTTGACAATTTCACCCATTAACCGAAAATCCACTGTTGTTTTCTGCTGTTGAAATAATAGGTATGCTCAGGTGACAATATGGACATGTCGGAAGGGACAGCCTCCCCCCTCTGATGTGTCTGACCTTGTGGTAGAGATTTGAAGAAGGAATTGCTTGGGTCTTATGAGGTTAGATGTGTTTTCCTATAAAACTTAGAGTGGCAATCTCATTGTGGCACAAATTTATTTATATTTGAACTTATCAGGGTATAAAAATCACATCCCATTGATGATACTGTTTCCCAATCGTGTGTATAGAAAAAATAAATAAAACTTCAGTCGAGGCTGTGTGTGGAAGCTGGGCTCTGTGCACCCTCGGAGGGTCCATGTGGACCGTGGGCCGTGGCGCGCGCTTCTCTCCTTCCTCACCTGTTGGCCGTGTGTCCGTGGCCCTCTCCACCCCCGCTCCTGCCCCACATCCGAAGCAGCTTTCAGAAGACACAGGGCAGCTTCACAGAAGGGGGCCGTCTGTGGAGCGGGGAAATGGGCATCTCTCTGAGTTTTAAAGTAAGTTTGTTTCCCGCGGGCTGTGTCACGGGTGATCTGGAAGTCACGCTGATCCAGCATCACGCAGCTGTGGGACACAGCCTCGTCTTGTGGCCTTGCAGTACGTGTTGGTGTCCATTGGTCACAACCAGGACATGGGAGTGCCCACAGTTGGCACAGGTCAGCAGGCTCATGTGGCCAGGGTCTGGGGGGAGCCCGTTGGGGTTGGGGAGGGAGGTCCCGTGGTCCCCAGGGGAAGGGCCACGTTCCAGGCCTGTGCAGCCACACGAGGGTGCGTGCCCGCTCTCAGCTCCAGCGTACGCGGGTACGAGAGGCTGATTCGGTGCAGATATCGGGGAGCTTGCTTGTATCTGTAGTCATGACATAAACATAGTTTCAGAGGATATCTGCCCTTACATTATTTCCTTAAAAAAAAAAAATCCCAGCCTAACTCTTGATTTAAAAACAGCCACACAGTGGGGCACCTGGGTGGCTCAGTCAGTTGAGCGTCCTACTCTTGGTTTCCGGTCAGGTGGTGATCTCAGGGTCCTGGGATGGAGCCCCGCGTCGGGCTCCCTGCTCAGCGTGGAGTCTGCTTGAGATTCTTCCCACTCACTCTCCTCCCCCTTGCACGCACATGCTCTCTCCCTCTAATAAATGAATAAATAAAACATTTGAAACAAACGAAAACCCAAGCCACTCATTCAGAAAGCCCCAATGGGTACCATCGCAGTGGAGAAAGGCTGAACAAATCCCTCGCTGTCAGGAGGCACAAGGAGGTGCCCCCAGAGCCGGGATCAAGCTATAGCTGTGTGCGGGGCAGGAAGTGCATGTGATGCAGAACCTAGAGCAAGGGTTGAAGACAAAACTGAGGACCTCACCCGTTAACCTTCAGCTGCTGAGAATCCTCGCTGCAGGCTGTTCCTTCTGTGGGGGCACTCTTCCCGTGTCCACCCCCCTCTCTGGCCAAAGGCAACTGTCGTCCTCCTGGGCCACACCCCTCCCCCCTTCCCCAGGCCAGGCCCAACAGTCCACCCCATCCCTGCCGCCCTAGAAACTAGAATCACGGGTCCCACTCCGGGACCGGCCCTATTCATACACAGTGTGTCTGACACGGGATAGCAAAGGCCAGCCAGTTACCACACTAGACTCAGGCTTCGTTTGCTCTATCCAAAATGCTAAAACCCCACTGAGCGAAATGGAAGTGCTTTCAGGCTATGTCGGACTGCAGGTCACCCTGTGGTCTCCCGGCCCCATGCCATGTGGTAGCCCTGCCCAGTCCGTTGTGACCCTCCCCATCACACATGGCCTGCGTACCCGAGGTCCCTACTCTGGAGCCCAAACCCTTGCAGACGCCTGGTCATGTCCAGTCCCTTCCCACCACAGCCCGTCTCCACATGCTCGGGGTAACCTTATTTCCTTTTTCTACACCAGGGCTGTGATTCTCTCATGCTGCCCTGTGCCGCCCCCCACCAAGCCTCCAGCTGGGGCCTCCGCTCTTTCTAAAGGTGAGGAGAGAGGGAGGGTGTCAGAATAACATGGGTGTAAGTCTACAACCAGGCCCCAGTGCCCAGTGATGAGAGAAAACCACTCTAAAGACCAGATAGACAAGGGGAGCCAGTTTAGATCTCTGTCTAAGTCAGTATGACTGTACATAAACTGTTTGAACCAAAAGCCTGACTTATGGCCCTGCTACCCACGCATCGTGCACCTGCTTTGTGAATGAGTCAGCTGAAGGAAAACCATCTTGTCCTTGAGATTCCTGCCAATGCTCCTGCTCCCCACATTCCTTTATGATAAAACTCGTGATTCCTGCCAATAGGTTAAGCTATAGCCTTTTTTTAAAAAATACTTTTTTAAATTTGACAGAAGAGAGCACAAGCAGGGGGAGTGGCGGAGGGAGAAGCAGGCTCCCCGCTGAGCAGGGAGCAGGACCCTGGGATCATGACCTAAGCCAAAGGCAGACACTTAACTGACTGTGCCACCCAAGCTCCCCGAGCTATAATTTTTTGAGCTTTTACAAGATGTAAAAAAAATACATAATCCTGTAAAAACTACTCATTCTTTGGAGCACTTCCTTCCCTGTGAAGAGCGTGGTTTCCGGGCAGCTGTCCTAACCTGCACTTGAAGAAAACTTCTATTAGAAATAGAGAAACTTGGGGCACCTTGGTGGCTCAGTTGGTTAAGCGGCTGCCTTCAGCTCAGGGCATGATCCTGGGGTCTTGGGATCAAGTCCCGCATCGGGCTCCCTGCTCAGCGGGGAGTTTGCTTCTCCCTCTCTAATAAATGAAATACTGAAAAAAAAAAAAAAAAGAAAGAAATAGAGAAACTCTATTCTTTCTTACAGAGATTCTAAAGGTCTGTTCATTTTTCGTCAACACCAAGGCTCCCGGTTTGCCTGGGACATCCTGGCCTTAACCCTGAAAGTCCTCTCTCCCAGGAGACGATGCAGCCTGGGCTAACATGGGTGGTGGGCCACCTCTGACATGTGTGTTTCTACCACACCATCAAGCAACTAACTCAATTCTCTGAGGACTCTGAGGGCGTGTCTCACCAATCCGACTCAATTCTGGTACTGTCTATCTGGAGGTGGCATCAGATCCCACAGGCTAGGGGCTCAGGGCCGCTGAGCTGCTTCTCCCCCTTCAGATGCCAGGCGCAAATCCAGGCTGTCATCTGTGCTTCCTATAATTAGCTACAGATCAGGTTCAGTGAATTTGCTAGAGCGGTTCCCAGATCTCAGGAAAGCAGCTTACTCACTGGGTTACCGGTTTATTACAAAGGATTTGAATCAACCGCCAGATGAGGAGATGTGTGGGGTAGGGTGCCGAGCTTCCATGTCCGGGGGACCACTCACCCCATAATGTGGTCCGGAGCGTTGGGATCCAGAGCTGACGGCTAAGAAAGAAGTCTTGAGACGTCTTTGGTGCAAAAGATGGTTTTTTATAGCACAGGACAGGACCCATGGACAGAAAGAGCGGCTTCTATGGGACTGTGACCAGTAATTTATATACTAGGGAGTTGGGGGAAGACAAAGGGAAGTTTCCAAAAGGACTTTCATATGCTAAAGACTCTCAGGATACAGGAGGCCAGGCTATTGTCAACCAAGGGTGGTAATCACACTTCCCGGCCTTTTGGATTTAGCTCAGGAGAAGACAGCTGAGAGTTTCCTGGAGGAAGGTTACACTCTGCCCGCCTCGAGTACTGGTCAACGGGCTGCAGGTTATAAGGACATTTAATTTTATCTACATTTCCTTCTGCCTCTGTTCCCCACATCAACTCCCCCCTAGGGCCCCCCATCCTGCCGCAGACCTGCAACTGGGCCCATGTGAAGGGTACGTGGCTTTGGGTTCCTGACTTGGATCGTTAATTCCATGTAAGGGCCTCTATACTGCATGTGGCCTGGGGCTCTTTGCTCGGGCAGGTGGTGGGGCTAGACAGGCCAGCGGCCCATCACTGCTCATGCTGGTAGCATGTTCCTGCTCAGGGGTCTCAGCCCAGCCTGCACCTGGGGAGCTTGAAACGACAGTGGCCATAGACCTGCTGAGTCAGGGGCTCTGTGGTGGGCTTAGCGATCTGGGTTTTGTCAAGTCCTGCAGGTGATTCTGATGCATGCTCTACCTTGAGAACCACTAGGTGAAGCTGGAGGATGTCTAATTATGGACATAAATGTGTGGTCTGCGGGTGAGGGCTGCAGATGCCATGTGTGCGGGGGGGGGGGGGATGCCCGCTGGGGAGGAGGCTGCCTGGAGGGAGGGGTCTGCCCCGCTTGGGCACCTTCTCTGGCAGGGCCAGCAGAGGCTGGGCCTGGGCTGATACCCCGAGGCAGTCCCCAGAAACAGGATCCAAAGGGGCGCCTGATAGTTCAGTCAGTTAAGCATCCGACTTTTTTTTTTTTTTTAAGATTTTATTTGAGAGGTGGGGGTGGGTAGGGGTAGAGGCAGAGGGAGAAGCAGACTCCCAGCTGAGCAGGGAGCCCAATGTGGGGCTCCATCCCAGGACCCTGGGATCATGACCTGAGCCGAAGGCAGACAGACGCTCAACGACTGAGCCACCCAGGTGCCCCAAGCATCAAACTCTTAATTTCTCAGGGTTGTGAGACTGAGCCCCATGTCGGGATCCCTCTGCCCCTCCCCACCAAAAAAGAAGCATGAACCACAGCGTCAGCTACTCCCAGTCCATTTCCTGTTTGTGTGACATAGTCCCATTAATTTTCAAATAATCCTCTTGAAACCTTCCCACCTTGTCCCCATGGGATGGAGGGGAGCTGGATGAGACTCTGGTGAAGCACTGGCTCAAAGTCTAGCTCTGCATCTCACTGGCTGCGTGACCTTGAGAAAGTTTTGTCTTGTCACATTACCGGTCCTTAGAGCCCCCTTCCACCTGTTTCTGAGAGGACTCCAAGAGACTGCTCACAGGGGGTGGGTGGCCAGAGCGTTCCATGTCTGGCATCTCTGTCCAGGGCAAATCCCTGGACCTCAGAGGCCCGACATGGCAGGGACCAGGACCAGCTCCCAAGCCCACACAGCTAAGTGCCACCTGCAGCTCCCACTGGAGCCATCCCGCACGCCCAGGGGCAGGGTCTGTAGCATCCCTTAATCCAACCGTGTTAAATGGGCTCTGGACCACCAGCCTCTGTCCATCCCTCCCTCTGCCCCAGAGGCCCCCGCCTCTCTAAGAGCTCCTACAGATCCCAGCCTGATCCCTCCAAGGCTGTCCAAAGTCCCAGGCCCTCAAATGCTCCCTCTGTCCTCAGCTGAGCTGAAAATGAGCTCTCCCAGCATCAAAAATCACAGACTTGATGTGTTACCTGGCCAGGGAGCAGCTCTGCTCTCTTTCACATGGCCTTTCTGGAAGTAATTCCTTAACTTACTAAGAGGAATGTAGTCTCCATGACAAAATCTGATGGCACACTGACCACAAATAAAAACCAGGCTGGTGAAAATGCCCAGCAAGTGTCTCCCATACGTACAACTCCGAGGTAGGGCCCCGGAGCTGCAGAACCAGGGGGCTATGGCTTCCACCCGATGACCAGCCTGGCGTTTGAGGACAGCCCTGCTCCCCGCAAGTGGACCCCGTTGTGACTGTGTTCATCTAATTCCTTACCTATCTTTCTTGGAAAAACCACACGCTCTTTAGGCTGCAGACTGCCAGGAGGAATCATCCCATTGCAGCTATTGGGGTCTCTCTCCTACGAGTGTAAAGCTCTTTGACCACTGGATGATGCCCCCACCTCCTCACTTCTAAAACAGGACACGGACTCTAGTTACCGAGTATTTTAGAACTTCTGTGTTGTGCAATTGCTGCAAAACTCAGGTGTCTTAAAATGCCATTGCTGGGGGACGCCAGGCTGGCTCAGTTGGTGACACATCTGCCTTCGGCTCAGGTCACGATCTCAGGGTCCTGGGACTGAGCCCCATGTGGGGTTTGGCGCTCAGCGGGGAGTCTGCTGTCTCTCTTCCCCTCTGCCCACTTGTGCATGATCTCTCTCACAAATAAAAGAAACGCCATTGCTGAGGGCACTTTCAAATGTCGCAGCGTCCACTGTGTCCTGGTTAATGTTGACAAATGCCCAATGTCCTTCAACTATCCTTAAGTTGTTGCAGTGGGTTTGTGTTGTTAGGGTGAAAACGTGTTGGTTTCTGGGGCCGCACTTCTAAACCTAGGCAGGTGTGTATTGTTTCCAAAGGCAGGAACTGGCCAGGTCGCCATGCTAGCCCCGAGGCACCCTTCTTCTGGCGCTGAGACCTAGGGCAGTTATTTATCCCTGGGGTGGTTTCCCACACCGGAAGGAGGGGGCACAGATGAGGTCACGCTGCCTTCAGTGCCTGCCCAGACAAGGAGGCACAAATACACAATGACCAATAGCCCTGGCACACTGGCCCTGGGGGTTAAGGGCAAGCTAAATTCTAAGGGCTGTGGGGCCCTCCCAGGGAGGGGAGGGCACGGAAGTTTTACAGGGCAGACGCTGAAACCCAGCATGTCGAAGGGGGCGGATTAGATCCCCAGGTCAGACCGCAGAGCCCACCGCAGTCCCGCTTCCCTCGCCGCCGAGGCAGGTGTGGGACAGCAGTGCCACACGCCAGCGAATGGCATGGGGGTCCCCCGAACGCCAGGCTGGCGGGCAGTCCCCCGTGAGACCCCGCGCCCCAGCCGCCCCCCGAGGGCTCCCCCCGCGCCCCAGCCGCCCGCCCCGCTCCCCGACGGCTCCCCGAGGGCTCCCCCCGGACCTGGGGCAGCGGGAGGTGCATGGCCCGCTTCCGCGGACAACTGCCACGTCCCACCCCACTGCGGTCGCGCCAACATTCTGGAGAGCCAGTGGACGCCGGCAGTGCGCAGCATTTCTCCAGCAGCCTCCCAACAAGCTCGGTGGGGAGGCGAGAGGCGGGGGCGCGGGCCCAGGTGCGTCTCCGCGAAGAAAGGGGGCGAGCCCCGCGGCTTCTCTGACTCAGGTGAACCGCTGCACTGCGAGCTCTTCTCCGTGCGCACGGGTCCCGTCCGGCGCAGCCGGGGCGCGGGGACCGGCGTGGCGTCGGCGGCGGCACCATCAGGTCCTGGGGCCACCTTGCCGGGCCGCCTCACGGCCTTAGGGTCCAGGTCACCGACCCCCGGCCGCCACTGAACGCCTCCTCGCCGCCCCGCAGGAGCACCGAGCCGCAGCGAGCCCCGCCCCCCGCAGCCCGCCTCCTTCCATCTGCGCACGCGCACTGAGCCGCGCCCTCGCCGCACCGGGAGGCGGGGGAACACAGGCCGCGGAAGGAGGGCCGGACGGCTGGGGACGGGGCGAGCCGGGGCCCGCGGCTGCGCACTCGACCGCGCCGCGCGCCCCACCCACTTCCGGCTGTGGCTCTTCCGGGGGTGGGGGGAGACTGTCTACCCCAGCAGCGGAGATGGACAGCGTCAGGCTGACGTCCGCCCCACAGACCCGAGGGGCCGTGGCCACCATGGCGTCCGGCGGCGCTCGCGGGATGATGCAGCGCTGGGAGCTGCTCCTCAGCGCCGTCGCGCTGTTCCTGCTGCTGCTTTCGGCGGCCGCGGCTCAGGAGCCGTCAGGAGCGGGTGAGGGGCCCGGGGCGGTTGAGAGGGCGCGGGCTCCTGGGCGGGGCGGGGAGGGGTCGCGGGGTCCCGGTCCGGGCGGGGCGGGG